TTAGGATATTTAGCATGGAGCAGCCCTGGATCGAACCACCAATCTTCCAACTAGTAGATGCTCTACCTCCTGCGCTACAATAGCCACGCTTGCTTATTTCTGGCAACATCAAGCATTGTAGCTCATGTTTCCTGTAAATCTATTTGCTTCCTAGATACTTTGTGTATTAGCATGAAATAATCAGTCCTGTCATCTGGTTCTAAAAATGTAAAAAATAAATAAATAAACTTCTCCTTTCTCTGTATGTTTCTTGCACAACTAACACATCTTTCCAGCAAATTTAAAATTACCGATGAGACTGTCATGTTAAAGTGGCTAGCTTCATCTATAAAATTAACATATTTACAGACTAGTCCAAACTTTTGATGTCTATAACTAACCCCACTTCAAGGCAACTATTTAAATTGTTAAAAGTTGTCTAAGGTTTAAATCTGGGGGTGGGGACACTTGGGGGGCATTGGGCTGGAGGCTGGCTATACCCTGGACAGGTATCCAATCTGACATCAATTTGTAGTATGACCTGATTAAATATCATGCATTCCCCTCCAATACTTTCCAATCATATGAAGCTGCGTCACTCTCATCTACAAGGGCATTTTACACCTCACACATGGCTTATGTAATGCTTCAGTTCATGAAGAACAGTCTCTGCAACACCACTGAATCCGTAATCCTCAGATATAGTATAACCACATCCATCCTACACTCCTACTCCTACAAAGCACTTCAGCTGAGTCAAGCGCATCCTTTAAATCACATAGAGGTGGAAGAGGAAGAGGTTTCTTTATTACAAGTCTCCAGAGGGAGAACTGTGGTGTTGTCTGCAAAAGAAATCTATACACCCACATATCTCTCACATGGTCTCTATCTCTCTCTCTCTCTCTCACACACACACACACACACCACCTACCATTTGTCGCTGCAGTGCTCTCCAGTCTTCCCACTGAATAAAAATCAAGGATGACAGGGTAAGGGTTCAACTTCCAGTTTTATGGTGGTCCAGAAATAGTGACAATAATCAGCTCCTACCAATGTCCACCCTCCTAGTGAGAGTGCTTTAACTTTTAACTTAAAACACACCCACTGGGAGGAGTCTTGTGACCTAGGGGTGGAGCAATACAAAAAGGAAAGGGCAAAACAACCACACACTCATGTGGGTGTTTTTTAATTATCAGGTGACTTTTTTTTCATTATGTCTCAATACATAGCACTTTACTGTGCAAATAGGCTGCACATAACTGTATGAACTGTATAAATAATTTCCCCCAGGGATTAATAAAGTATTCTGATTCTGATTCTGATTCTGATTCTGATTCTGAACACAAATCAGTGTAAATACATGTGACTATGTCATTTAGATCCCTGATGACAACCAGTGTTCCAGTGTTTTTAATGAGAAAAAAATGAAAGCATGGAAATTGCTTCATTGTTTTAATGTCATGAATTTAATCTCCGACACAGCATGTGTGATATGATTTCTGAAGAAATGGAAATGGAGCAAAGACAGTCAGAAGAGACCTATTATGAACCACACTCATTATATTGCAGAAGTAATCACTGAAATGAAACCACTGATTGATTTTTTGGTGGTTTTCATATTGATATTTCCTTTGCCAAATATTTTGTGTGTTTCTTTTGCTTATAAAACCAATGAGTGTTCAAGGTGTCAAGAACACATACAACCAGATACCACAAAATATATATATTCCTTCCTGATCTGCTCAGTTATTTTTACATTCCTGTTTACATGTAGGAATATGATAGTGAGAGCATCTCCTCATTAACATGTCAGTCACTAATAGTGTCAACTATTTTGGCTTCAGTCAGTCTATAGTTGTTTACACTGTAAGTATTCCTGGAAATGTCATTGTCCGTGTTCTACCTACTTTACTGTAGATGCAAAACCTAATTGCATACCTTAACATCCATTCAGCATGGTTGCACTACTCACAACTCTGAATGTACGAATGTGTTCTGTTCCTATTAGGGTCAGACTACACTGTCACATAATAATTCTTTCTTTTAACATAAATGTATTTGTTTGGCTTTTTTCTAGTGCAAGGAAAACACAATTTTCATGCTTGATTTTTTTTTTAAAGCACTGATAGTTTAATGGATAAAAATGAATGCTGACATTGGAACAGCAGTACGTAATGAACATTTTCAGTGTCTGATCACTGATTACTGATAAAGCAACAATAAGATCACAGTTATCAACTTTCTCTTTTTTCCAAATGGGATCGAACTGCATCTCCTGATCGAGCACTGAAATATGTTTTCTTCTCCTCACATTCATATTTTGCTGCTTTGATTGATAAATATCTGAACATCTGAAAGATGATAAAGAAATGTGTGGCTGTCTAGACATAATTCAGTTTTGAATATTCCGGTGACATAGGATCTGTTGTTTGCAAGTCTGATACAGTTTTACAACATTTACACAACCTGGACATGAATTGTGGATTCACATGCCTTTATTACCTGGATGCTCTAAAATGCTCTAAAATCATCTGTAGATTCTTATAAAGCACGCCAATTCCACAAACAAGACCAGTACAATGAACATTAGTGAAATTTTATCTGTAGAAACATCTATTTAAAGACACATGCAGAAGGAAATAGACAATAAATTTAGAAAAAATGTTTTGTTTTCTTAATTCATAATCATCCATAATACCAGCACATTTTCAATTGTTTTCTATTAATGTTTTTAATTAAAAGCCAGAGTTAAAGCTCTTCTATTGTTTAGATTGGTATGTAATCAGTCTGATTCAATTACTTTTAATGATTAAATATTGATACTGTTTTAAAACAAGTTAACTTTTATTCAAAATAGAAAGAAAATACAATAATCAACCAGATTAATGACAGGAAGGTAAAAGTTTGAGCTGGAAAATAGAATATTAAGAGTTTGGTTGAATGCAGGAAAAATATTAATTCCATGGCTTTTTTTAAAAACAAAAGCTTAAACAAATTAGTGTTTAAGCTTTTGTTACCACTCTGTTAGGATAGATACAATTTGCCCCACCCTCTGTTGGGCAGGGCTATGACATCAATAGAGGAAAATAGAAAACTCTCTAGACACCACAGAGAGGCTGAAAAAGCTCTCTGGTCTCTCAAGGCTACAATGATTGCAAGTTTCTTCTTCCTGCTGTTACTTGTGGGTAAGCTGAGATTATTCTAATTAAATGGAGATGACAATTTATACCATTTAATTTACTTTATTTTTTATAAATATAAATATATTTTTATATTTTATTTCATTTTAATCAGTAACACTTCTTTACTTGTAATAGATTGCATTTCAGTGCAAGAACAGGTTCCTCTATAATTTCCCAGTAAATATATCTTGTTTACTAAATTAAATTCCACTTTTTTATAATTAATAGATCAGAGATATAAAATAAAAAGAAAGAGAGAAAGAAAGATAACACATCTGGTATCTAGTAACTCAGATGGATTTAAACTTAAGTATATTAAGTATATATTATAAGTATATATTAAGTATATTTAATAAAGTATATTCAATATGAAGATGTACAAAATGTTTTCAGATGGACTGCAGGCAGGCATTTTGGAACCTGGACTCTTTAGCTACAAATGTGTTGCTATAGATAAGTCTTAAATTCCCAGAGGTTTAAGATTCTTAGAATCTTTTGATGATATTATGTCCTGTAGATGATGAGACATTCAAAGTCTTCACAATTTTATACTGAGGAATATTATTCTGAAGTTGTTCTACTATTTAAAATACAGTTTTTTCGTAGATTATTGATTTTCTGCCCAGCTTTACTTCTGAGAAAATCTGCTTTGCTCAGACGGGCTTTTTACATCTAATCATGCTCACTGGCTTCCTGCTATTAACCTAATGGTTTGCAAAATGTTTCTCCAGCTAGTTCTTTTTTGTTATTTTACTTTTTCAGCCGTTTTTTCCCCATCCAGCTTTTTTCAGATGTGTTGCAATCAAACTGAACTGATAATTGTCAGTGTCAACTGTAAAATGACTTAATTTAAACATTTGTTCTCTAGCATATCGAGACTATCTCTCCACACCTTTACATATTCCACATGTACGGGGTAGGAGCCCTCTTGGTCGTGGCGTGTGGATATTTCTTTAAGACACTCCAGCACGCCCGGCTACGCCCCATAGCTTATGTATAAAACAGCTGTGCGGACGTGACACCAGTGTGTGTGTTTTTGTATGTGTAAGTGAGAGAGAG